ATTTTAGCCGGTGAAAAAATGTAAAACGGCCGGGGTTTTGCTTCGGAGGAGGCGATGCATGTTTTTGTGGCGGTTTCACTGCTTGAAACGGCCGAAAATGGGAGATCGGTGGAGAGAGAGGGAATCGCCGGCGAGAGGAGAGAGAAGCTCTAGGTTTTGCTACGGTGTGGACGAGTGTATGGTGCACTCGTGCGTCTGAAGCCTGATCACCGTTGGATCTCGGATGAACAGATCTTGCGGCTGTGATTGGTTTGATCTTGAAGTTGATCGGACGATCAGGATTGAATGGGCTACGATCTGGTGTGTCGCGGTGTACCGAGTGATTGGTACACCTGCTGACGTGGCGCAAAGGATCGAAGGGCAGATTATTTGAAAGACTAAGATTGATTTGGGTTTTAATCTGGTGTGGTAAAGCCTATTGTATCCTAAGAAATCAAAGGCTCAGATCTAAACACTATTAGATCTAACGGTTGAGATTTTTTGGTATTTTTCAATTTGTTAAAAAAAAATTTAATATGTTACTAGGGTGTAGAAAAAGTATAAGAAAAATGAATATTACCCAAATAGTAACATAAATGCTCGAATTCAGAATTGAAATTCACAATGAATTTTTTATCTTTTTTTCCATCCCCTCTGTCTTGATTTCATTGGCTATTTATAGCCAATGAAATCAGATAACAAATCACGTGATTATGAAAATAATCACGGCATTGTTAAAATTTTCAACGTCCATCGATTACTATTTGTTTTATTATATATAATAATACTAAGTAATAATAATAATATTTATTTATAGGGGTAAAAATTAAAAATTCAAATCAGTATTATAAAAAGTTTTTCATCCGCTAAAAATAAATTTTAAATTATAAAAAAAAAATCTTTATACGGGTATCAACTCGGTGGACCAGGTTTTTTTGACCAAAAATACCAGTTTTGACCAAAAATAGTCTGAAACTCATTTTTTTATCGCGGTCGACATGGTGGGACCCGTATTAACCCGGTGGACTCGGTTTTGACCCGAAACAGCCCAAAACTCATTTTTCATCCCGATCGACATGGTGGGACCCGTAATGACCCGGTGGACTCGGTTTTGACCGAAAATGACAGTTTTGACCCGAAACAGCCCAAAACCCATTTTTCATCCTGATCGGCATGGTTGGACCCGTATTGACCCGGTGGACTTGGTTTTGACTGAAAATGACGGTTTTGACCCAAAACAGCCCGAAACTCATTTTTCATCGCGGTCGACATGGTGGGACCCGTATTAACCCGGTGGACTCGGTTTGGACAGAAAATGACGGTTTTGACCCGAAACGGCTCGAAACTCATTTTTCATCCCGGTCGACATCGTTTAACCCGTATTGACCTGGTGGACTCGATTTTGATAGAAAGATGTGGTTGACTCGAGAAAATATATTTTAGACTCTTTTTTTTCTTTTTTTTTTCTTTTTTTATATTTATTATATTTTTTGTCATGAATAATAAGATAAAATAACATTCAAAAAATTTTAGTGAATCCAAAATTGGGTTACAACAACACGCTAAAAGTTGAACGCGTTTCAAATATCTTTAAAAATTAAATTTTTTTTTAGAGGATGTTGAAAATGCTAAAAATAAGGCAAATATTTTTTTAAAATGTAATTTTTGGATTTTCTTTATTTTTTTCTCTTCTTTTTGGATTTTTTTAAAAATTTATCAAAACATGGGTCAGAATTGAGGAATAACCTAGAATTGGGTTATGACACATATCATGCTCACAAATTGAATTTTCGTTCCTCTTCATATATGTTCTTATGGCATAACTCGTTTCATTTTGGTTATCGCTGTTTTAATTTAGCATCTAATCGTATTTAGTTTCCCATCATGTTTGTTTTCATAAAAATATCTTTCTTTTTTATGAATATTGAACAAAGAACACATTCATCAGTACCCTCCACACAACCCACACACCTCCCACCCTTAAACTTCCCCAACTCTTTCAGCCTACCACTCCCCAACCTTGCCAAACCAGCACCCTTATTCTGCCCTTTATCGTACCACAACAGACCCCCCTACTTGACCACCAGCTCTACAACCACTTCATCCCTGTCTAGCCTTGTTATATTGTCACCATCTGCTTGTTTTTTCGATAATCATTATGTAGGGATAGGTTCTCCATCGATAAAAGTCCATGCTTCAAAGTCTGCCGCAACAGAATAGCCCAATTTTGCATTAGGTTCGTTGGTGTCTATCGCGCTGCCCAATCCCACAACAAACTCTCTAGTTAGCTTGTAATTCTGTGTAGATCTCTCCTTGTACCCTTTCCAACAACTTCCAGCTACAAGCTCTTTTCCTCTACAACTAGCTGCTTGTTAAAATCACATTATCCTCTGCCCTTAGCAACCAAAAATAGCACTGTCTGTAATAACTATCAACGCCTTTGTTACTTCCTTTAGTCATATAGTACCTCCTCCTACTCATGAACCACTTGTTTTTAATGATGCTCACAAGTATGAGGTGTGGCATAATGTTATGCACAAGGAAATTCAAACCTTATGGGCTAACAAAACTTGGACCTTAGTGTTATTTCACCTTTCAATGAATGTTGTTGATAGTCAGGGGGTGTATAGAATTAAATACAAAGTTGATAGAAACATTGAGAGATATAAAGTGTGCCTCATTGTTAGAGTTTTTACTCAATAAGAAGGTATTGATTACTCTGAAACCTTTAGTTCTGTTATCAAGTAGGCAACCGTTAGACTAGTCTTCTCTATTGCAATTTCATATGATTGAAAAATTCATCAACTTAATATCCATAATGCCTTTTTTAATAGCATTTTTTATGAAAAGGTCTACATGAAACAACCTCTAGATTTTGTTGATCCTGCTCTTCCCTCTCATGTATGTAGGTTGCATAAATCTCTATATGGTTTAAAATATGCTCTGCAATCTTAGAGTACTCGTATGAATAACTTTCTGTTATCTATTGGTTTTTATGCCTTCAAAGTGGATACCTCATTATTTATCTTCTCTATTGGTACTGATATTTGTTATCTTCTGGTCTATATTGAAGATATTCTGCTTACGGGTAGCAACTCTCTTATGCTTAAATGCCTCATATAGCTACTAAGCTCAGAATTCAAGCTTTGTGACTTGGATACTGTTCATTATTTTTTGGGTATTGAGGCTCAATCTACTATTGTGAGTCTTATGCTACTCTTATATCGTAATCTTCACCGTTATTTTTGTATATTGTCCTATACACATCTATATATATATATATATATATATATATATATAAATAACTAATAAATTAAACCTCTTAATTATTCTCAGCTCATGTCATACATTTAGAAATGAAGCTATTAAATTTTTATAAAGTGAATTTCTTGAATTAAAGAGTATGGTATTGGACGAGATGTGTCTACTTACGGGGATGGGTACAGCTTTGGCATCTAGTTCTTGGAGATGTACCTACCGACAACATGTTTCAAGACAGACTGAACCTTCACATTTAAGTTGAAATAGCACTGCCCGGACGTGTGATTACAGAAGTTGTGGATCCAATGCTTTTCAGAGAATACGAGGAAAGAGTAGTGCTCAATCCTCCTCTCATAGAAATAGGATGAACCATACTGAGAGTGGCAAAATCCTGGAATGTCTGGATTCAATTCTGAGGGTGGGAATTTCTTGCTCTGCCGAGTTGCCACCAGAGAGGATGGATATGAGCAATGTTGTGTCTGAGTTGCAGCGGATTAGGGACTCTCTTTCTCGAAGCATGATGCGTGGGCAGCATGAAATTGTTTCGGTGCGGCCACAAGGTAAAGCTCCATAATGAGAATACAAACTCAACTCCTGAACAAACCAATTAAGATTATTAATGATTCCTAACAGTGTTGTCTCATTCTGTAGATTGGTAAATGAGAACCTCATCTGTTCAAGGAGTCAAAAATTATCTTAATATTCATGGAAGGAGTGGCGTTGCCGATGCATATGGTTATCTTCCAGCATTTTCCATTTAAGTTTATATCCTCTATACATATGTTTGCTCAAAGAGTGCACAAGTGTATTGGACATGAGCACTTTTAACATATATTACGGACTTGTGGTAATAAATTTTCTTGTATTGTAATAATTTCTTGATAGAAATTTATGAAGTTGTTATGGTATTGCACTAGAAGCTTTTTTCCATCTCTCATGATTGCAATCTATATATGCATTTAAATTCGTTGTCGAGCAGAGTTAAAAGTTTTTGGTTATTAGAAGGACTATAAGCATAGATTGCCCCCACGTCCTCGGAGGTACAAGAGTCAAGATAGTAGTGTTCTTAAACTAAACCGAATTGACTGATCCAGCCAAAAAAATCGATGAACATATGTCTGCTAAAGATTCTATATCACATCCAAAGTTTTGCTTGGATCAAGAAGCAGGTGGACTAATCCTATAAATGAACAACATGTTTGCATAAGCTTTTCTTGTTGGGTTTTTTTTTTTCCTTAACCAAATTATTATACCTTTTTATTAAAAAAATATTGTCTGAAATTTAATATTTTTCATCAAGTTAGTTTTTATAGAGAAATCAAAATAGTATGATGGTAGAATTAAGGGAAAAAACAATAATCTGGGTTAAAAATTGAGATCACCACAATAATTTGAAGATGTATTTGAGGTTCGCAATTTATTTTATATACAAAACCATTTTGTTTTAGCACAAGCATCAGAAATTCTTTGAGATCTTTTATTGAAAGTCTATTCCTTCCGAATCCAACAATACAACCTGTTCATGATCTTGACTAGCGGAGAGTTATGGGAACCTAGGCAATTTTTTTCCCTCTCTTCTTGCTGATTTCCAGAATAGGTCAACAATTTGGAATGTTTTTTATCATTCAACAGTCCACATGCATTAATGTAAAGTAGGGTATAATAAGAACACCCTCTGCACTCTCTCAATTTGTGCTGGCTCGTCTCCACGGTGAAGGTATTGTCAGTCTGGCAGTTTGTGCAAGTTTTTCTTTATTTTTGAAACATAGTTGTAACAAATGTGTCTTGTGTCGGCAATTATTGTCTGGGATTGAGATAATTGAGAATGACATGGATAGAGAGAATATAAAATTTTTATTTTTTATTAATAAAAAAATATGAGTTATTATTTAATATTTTATTTACTAAAAATTATATTTAGTTTTATAATTCAAATTTAATTATATAAAAACATATATTAGCACTTCTAATATATCTTACTCGAAACAATTTATATTATTTATTTGTCTAATATAAATTAAGAAATTATTATATTTTATAATTATTGATCTATTTAAAATTAAAAAAAATCTTTTTTAATAAGAAGATCATTATATTATCATGTTAAAAACCTAACTATTCTAATGTTAATATAAAAATAAACTGTTTTTTATTTAATATCAATATATCTTACTTATAAGTTTATAATGTGATATATTAACAAAATTTTATTGTGGTATTTTTAAAATATAAGTCAAAATCTTTTGAAATTTTACAAATTTGTTGTAAAATCTATGTAATATTTTTTTTTTAAACATGCAAAAATATTTTAGATTTTCTTTGACAAAGATGCTCAAATAATATTATAATTTTTTGCCAAATGTTATTTAAAATAAAATTTTATTTTTGAAAGAAAGATTTTTTGTTACTTTTTTATGGATGAAAATTATTTGTTTAATAACAAAAAAGCATCTCGTGTAAAGATCATAATTTTAAATACTAAATATGTGAATGTAGAAAAAAAAAAGAGAATTCAAAATTAATTGTAAAATAATCTTTCAAAAATTAAAAAAAATTAAAAATGATGAAGGATGTATTTGGCAAGACAAAAATAAAATATTTTTATCAAGGTTATTTTAATCAATATATCAATTGAAAATAAATTATCATTGACTCAAAACCAAATAATGACAAAACATCCATACATATTTTATTAATTTCACCCACTTTTATTAAATTTCATTTTACTTCAAAAAAATCAAAATAAACTGAAACATAACTCATGCATTAATATAATGTCTAAAAAAATCAATCTCAATCAAAAAATAATTTCACAATTTAACACAAATAATCACATCATTTCAAAAAATAAAATACACATCAAATCAAATTAATAGTATTGAAACAATCCAAATGTTATATAAAATAATAAATATTTGGATTCAAAAAATTCACAATATTATAGCAATTTATTCAAATATAATTTAAATTTATAAATTAACATTCCAAGACGTTTGAAATGTCCAGGATATATTAAAATAGACACTGAAAAACTATTGAAATAGTAACAGCACGTGTACCACGAGCCATAGGCAAATGTTAGAGGTGGAATTTGTTTTTTTTTAAATAATTTCTTAATGAATATATACCTTACCAAAGTAATTATTTCTACATGTTACGCATTATTTCAACATGTTATGTGTTCTGCTGAAACGATATGCAATGCTTTCGACAGCAAATGCAGTGGAACTTCCTCCACAGCAACAGAAACCAATGGGAATGCTTTTGAGAGAGTCTTCAAGCTTGACGATGGCCAGGTCAGCATGGCTCTGGTTGGAGCTAGAAAATGAGAGGATACCATAGCTTCCTTCAACATTATTTTTTATCGGAATTAGATGGGAAATTAATGGCCATCTCTTCGGACGTCAAATCATTCAGTGATGGGAGGCTGAGCTGATTGCCTGGCAATGACTGAAATGCCAAAAAGTTAGTGTGTATTTATATATTAAATGCTAACAGATGCGTTATAAAAAATATTTTTAATTAAAATAATGTATTTTTTAAGTTTAGAAAACATTTTAAGAAATAGCTTGAATTATAAAAATAAATACACCCTGTAACGTATCTTCACGAGAGCATGTGTTTCCATTGTTTTTTTAAAAAAAAAATTAAAAATAGAAGCTTTGCTGTCCCTGGTTCGATATATATAGTTTATTGTGGCCCTAGGTATGATTTGGACTAAGGATCCGTTCAAGAGTTTGCTAGCGTCTTGTAATGTATTTAAAATAATATTTTTTTAATTTTTTAATAACTCAAACTAAATCTTTTTAAATAATATTTTTAAACTAATGTTGACTGAAATTAATAAATTAGAGTTAATTATTTAAGCTTCACATGATTTTGATAGAGTTATTTAAATTTAATTGAATTAATTTTTAAAATAATAATTTTAAAAAAACTTATTTATTGACTTGGCTAAATTTAATAACTATGCTTATTTCAAAGGTTAATGGTGATGTCTCATGCTGAAATACTCAGCCTCGCTTAAAATTAGGTCATTACAAATTTTGTGAACAATTTTCATGGGGATAAATAGCACTTTCATGGTCTCTTTTGTTTCTAATTTTATTCATTTTAACCCTCTATTAAGTTTTTGGGTACACCAACCCTTACTCTTTTAATTTGTTGTGATTCAAACATTTTCAGCACTTATATTTGTAAATACAACAGCTCTTTTTTCGTCATATATATTCAGGATTAATATCTAAAAAGTGACTCAAAGCATAAGCTTTTAGTGAAGAGGTGAAAATGGCAAAAATTAAAGATATTCTTGACAAAATAATGTAATTTACAACATAATTAGTACTTCTGTGTCAGTGAAATTGTTGGGTTTAAATCCATAAAAGGAAAATAAGGTGATATCCTTATAATCTAGTTAGCAGAATTGAACCATTTTCAAATGATTTTTTTGTTTTAAAACATACTTTTCATGCTACAATTCACAATGAAAGAAATGGTCCTAGTTTCCTAAACTCGCTTTAAATTAAGGTGAGTGTGAGCAATTTTGGCTCTAAGGAGACACAAACTCCAGTCAAAGCTGGCTGCAAAAATTGGAGTTTATTAAGGGGAGAAGTAAGCCATTTTAATAGTGGCGGTGACCCCTTTCAGCTCCTTCCGACGCCTGAAGCTATAGGAGTCAAACATGATCGACTCACAGGTTCACAAGGCCGAACTGACCCCTTTTCTTGGACTTTTCTTCACTGATTCCACCATCTGTAGACACCACATCCAACTTTCTACCATTTTATTAAGTTAATCCTGATTAGACAGTGAAAAGGACACTAATATTTGATTTTTATGTAAAGAACATGGATTTTGACAAAGCCTTGTTTTAACTACTATATTTAATTTTTGTTGGAAATATTTATTTTTAACATTAATAAATTAAAATGATTTGAAAAATAAAAAAATGTTTTGAAACAACAAAAATTCAATTTTTAAAATACGTTACTTAGGCCTTAGGCCGTGTTTCCATATTACACCTTTAAGTGAATTGTATGGATCACTTGGTAATCTTTACTTGTTAGCCTATCTAAATTTGATTTTAAAAGGATATAATTTTTTAAAAATAATATTTTTTTAATATTTTATTTTAAAAAATCTTAAAATAATAACATTTTAAACTAATCTAATCCCACTTGACTCTGAATCGGATCTCTTAAGTCAAGTTATTTCCCTGCTAAATTTAATAAATTTTTTTAATAATTATAGATATTCAAATCAGTTTATATATATTTTAAATAATTTTTTAGTATTTTAAAATAACAATAATATAAATTTTTAATAATTTTAATATTTGTAAAATTTAAATTAATAATTTTTAAATAATAAATTTAAAATCTGATTAATTAAATTCTACACCGTTCATGATTTTAAATTTAATAACTTTAGTTTTGATTTTAAATTTAATAATTGTAGTTTTAGCTTTGAGGTTATGTATATTTAATCATTTTAGTTTTGTGTCCGTGGACACTACTTTCTAGGTTTTTTAAATAATAAAGAAAACATATTACCTTGAGGTTATGCATATTTAATAATTTTAGTTTTGAGTCCGTGGACACTAGTTTCTAGGTTTTTTTTTAAATAATAAAGAAAACATATTACCTTCAGGCTATGCATATTTAATAATTTTAGTTTTGAGTCTATATATTTGGACACGAGTTTCTAAGTTTCTTAAATAAAAATGAACACATATTACCATATTAGAAAAAAAAACCCTCATGTCAAATTATAAAGTTTCAAGAATCTTATTCTTTCATGAAAACAAGACACCATATACGCCTCTCTACAGAGACGGTAAGGTTTGACATTTCAAGGAGCTGAATTTGTCTTCATTATGGACCACCAGTAGACTTTGGAAGGCGTCGGCTTCTTAATTTAAAGAGACACGACCCCCGCAACAAATTAACATGGAAAGTGACTACTCAAATGATCACTACCAGCGACTGTCCACCTTCATTTTGTTCTAGGTAAGAACATATGCCATGAACATGCCTGCATTCTCTTTTCGAGCCAACCTCCATTGCTAGGATTTCATGCAGAGAAAAAGAACTCCCTAGTGGCTCAGATTCACAAGAAATTTATCTTTCGTAGTCTCGAACCAAATGATAACGTGGAGCCGATCGAGGGTCAAAAACCTAGATGTTGGAGTGACAATTATAAAGCAAAAGAGTCTTGAGATTATTAGGCTACTTGCTCATCAAAAAGATGGGAGCACCTTAACGTCGTTCGAAGCTAACTTTCGATTGGATTCCTTCCCATTGAGTGGAGGAAATAAGATTTTCAAGAGACTCTAACCTATAAATATTCTTGTTTTTGGTCTTTGAGGATACGTTTTAAAGATATTTTTGATAATTTGAAGTAAGATGATTAAAGAAATATTTATAATTATTCATCTACTAGAACCTGGAGGTAAGTTTTAAAGGGTTAACTTTATTAATCCAATAAATGAGGTTAAATGTTAACCCTGAGAAATCTAGAGAAATTATATGTTTTTCACTTCTCCAATATTTATAGTATAAGAAAGATAAACATAAATATAATAAAGAAATATAAGAGAAAAAAATTAAAAATATTTTTTTTATAAATGAAAATATAATTATTAAGATTTATATAGGAAAGAATGTTGGAATTTGTACTTCTTTTTCATTTTTTTAAAAAACTTAAAACTTTCATTCTTCTTTACTGCACTTCTTACCTTTGGACCCATAAATATAAATTATTTGATATTTATCATAATATCTATTAATAATCCTCATAAATTTTTTCCAACTAAGTTCAAACTCTCTCTTAACATTTTATCCCTTAAAAAATGTTTCACTCCCTCGACACTTCATCACTAGGATTTCTTTTCTGAATTTCTAACTTCAAGAAACTCATCCGTGATTCAGAGCTTTTAAAGGGGAAAGAAAACACCATCTCCCACAAAAGAGGAAAGTAAGAGCGAGAATCCAAATCTTTGATCATCTGGCCGAAACAGAAGGAACAAGATTTTTCATCAAGTTACATGATAAAGCTAAGGATAAAGGACTCATAGTTACATATAAGGCAGCACGGGATATGTAGCATGTATCAATTTCTAGCACATCCAGCTGATTACTCGTAAATTTTAGAGGTATTCGAGATCTGAACAACGTAAATCTTTGGTCAGAACGAGAGAAAACATAAAAATACACAGCAAAAGAGGAAGAAGCAGATTCTGCTGAGAGACCTATCAGCTTGCATTACATGCCTTCTCACTCTTGGGCTAGCAATTCCTGCGAGATGATACGAATTTGGGTAACTCTGCATGTTGGTTATCGAGTTACCAAAAACCCTCGCGTAAATCATTTCGCCAAACATCCCAACCACTGGATCAGCCATGTTTATTGTAGTGCCCCTTGGGCTATGCAAAGGGGAAGCAGAGTGACTCCCTGTCTGGGAATAGGGGAGTTGTGACTGATGTGGATAATTATGCCGATGATGAATTTGCTGTACTGGGCGTGGACTGCCTGTGGCGATAGGTGTTCTCGGCGAGTCAAACCCACAGGCAAGACCAGGAGGTCTTCGTGGAATGATTATACCGACATTTGGGGCTTTTTTCATGGAGGGTTTTGTGGTTTGGCCCCTGCCAAAGAGAGGAACTATTGTGGATTGGGAAACTTCGGCTTTGCAAACAGGACATTGCTGTTGTGGCTGCTGATCTTGATTTTCAGCAGAGATGCTCTGGGAGTGAAGCCATTTGTATATGCAGGGCCAGCAGTAGAGATGACCACAAAGTGTGACCACCGGATCCTGCACGGAATCTAGGCAAATATTGCAATCAAAACCATTGGAGGGGCTATCGTCAGAATCTATGGCTGTCTTAGGAATAGGTTTCCACTTCAGCAATGATGGCTTATATTCTCTGTTATAGTCATTCTGAGCATCGGTTTCGTCCATGTACTGCTCTGTGGCCATAGCGTCCGTTCACGTCAGGCTTTTTTGCTGCTTCAGATCTGAAATTATGCCAAAGAAACAGGATTAGGCATAAATCATTGGATCAAAATCACTTGCAGTTTTCTCTGCTACCAAAAATGCTTTTTTTTAGCATTATATAAACTGAATTTATGAATGGCAAGTAGCATAAAATGGATCTAACATAAATATACTCTAAACCAAAATGAGTAATTCTGCAAAGTCATTAGAAACATAAGATCAAAGAAACCCAAGCCTTTGGAGGAGATTACCAAAAACAATACGTCAAAGAGTTTTAGCTAAGCGGGTGGAGTGTTCTTATCCTTTTAAAGGCCTATTAGGAAAGAAGGAAGACACCGATTTTATAGATTGCAAGCCTGGATGAGATCTGCACATACAGTTCCTGTAGGTGAGAATTAGGCCAACATAAGGTCACCTAACTAAATTTCACAAAAGCTAACATCCAATCAACTTAATTATCAGCCATCTAACTACCTTCCTTTCTCACCTTAAATAGGGGACGCCTAAACATCTAAGAATTAAACCCTCGAAGAAAACTGTCTTTTCTCAAGAAGATCAACTACCTCTATAGAATAGTCATTAAAGTTTTACTAGAGATTTTTAACTAGAGGTTTTTAACTCGCTCTGATTATCTTGGAGAAGTGAAGGATTATCATCCCAACAGACTCATGGATATATAGCCATGAGATGACACGAAGATTCAATAGACGAATACTTGCAAGAAACGCCAACCTTCTTCGAGGATAACTTCAGTAACAAATCAATAGTTGTTACTAAAAGAAAAACAACTGCACATGGTTTTCTAACTGCAAACAAAAACTTCTCTAGGTGCAGCCACAAAAATACAAAATTTCTCAGGCCCTTTTCAGATTACATAGCCACTTTGTCACCACCGGGTGATAGGAAAAGAACAAAGAGGATAAGAAGGAAGGTAGCAAACAAGAAACAAAACCGATACCAACTTGGAAGAAATTTAAGTTTCCATGCCTTGGTAACCACAAAACTTCTAACATCAAAGGAATTGATGATTCTTCCACCCCAATAACAAAGCTAATCCCAAGAAAACTAATAGGGCCGGGGTGATCCTTTCCTCAACCCTCTCGTAAATGAAGCCTCTAGACAAAATCTTCTTATGAATCCAATGACTTCATGAATCCAATGACTTCAAGTGATTCCTTTCTAAATAAACATGCACAGGCTAATGTTAACAATTCAAGAATCACTTCCCTACTTAGAATTCAAAAGAAAAGGAACTTATCTTGAAACACAGTTTCATCAATCATGACACACATAAACAACAGCTCAATCTTCACATTGTAGAAGCCAAAAACAACAAAAAACCAAGTTTAAGAAAGTATCCCTTAAGCAAATTGTCAGACTAAAAAATGAATTAACTCATTAAAACAAATCAAAGATCCAGATTTTCTTTGTAAGGACGGAAAAATGCAGAGCAAAACAAGAGACAGACAGACATTAAAGATAACAAACAAACAAAGAACATATACCCAAGAATTGTCAAGTCTGATTCTGTTTAATAAAGAAAGAAACACTTGGCTCTCTGCACAAAAGATTAAGAGTTTCTTTATTGATCAAACATAGCTATTATGGATTAATAAAGAAAACAAAAAAGAACACAGCTTTCTTCAACAACAGAGAGAGAAAGTTATATCAATGAATAGAGCAGAAAGATGAACTGTGAAGGGACTAAATAAGTTATGGCGCAATGGCTGTGATTGAGAGATGGAGAGATAACGGTGGTGATGACAGGGTGGGAAAGAGAGGTAGCAAAACAGACAGATATATAAAGAGAAGGATCACATAAATAATATACAGAGAAAGTTTATTATTATTATTATTATTATTATATTATATATATATATATATATATATATATATATATATATATAAAGATAAATACAGCGCTTCTTGTACGCTCACGTTACTAACGTGGCTTTCGCTTTCGCGCTTATGATCATATTTATAAAACCGGTCTGCCAGGTCCGTATCTAAGATGGGAGTCACAATTATAGTTATCAAACCGATTGGTGTTGACCCGATAAACGGCCGGAGCTTAAGTAATACGGGTTAATTCAGATCAATCTAAATTAATTTGAAAATTTGAATAAATATTTAAATTTTTAATATTTTATATAAAAAAATTAAAAAAAAATTCATGTGAATATAAACTATATATATTATAAATACTGAAATTTAAAATATTATTTCAAAAGGTTTTTTACCCTGTATTAAAAAGATATTATATTATCATTATCCTACATTAAAAAAATACTATACTATCCTTTTAATATAAAATATTTAAACTAAAAAAATTTATTTTATATTAAAAAATATAATTTTTTTCTTGTAAAGATAGAGTATATATATTAAAAGGTTTCAAATCCCACATTAAAAAAATAAAACATTCTTCTAGTATTTATATAGTAAATTTAAAAAAAATTAATAACTAACTAAAAAATATGAAAAAAGAGGGGTCTTTAGCCCAGAGAAAACATATTTGAAAAAAAATATAACATGGGTCTCTACTGGGTTTTACCTAATCGACTTGAGAAGTTGACTGGGTTTGACCATTTTTCATTCTTGTCGGTCTTTTATCTTACCCGGACCGGTCTAGTAATCGAGTCCCAGATCAAGTCGTCGAGCCGGTCCACGTTTAATAACTATATTCACAATACCATATTAATTTAAAATGATTTTATTTTATTTTATTTTAAAAAATATTCAAATGATATTTTAAAAAAAAGTTTTAAAAATTCAATCTAAATCTCATCTAAAACTAGGTTGATTGGATCACATATTAACTGACGAGGTCATCTAAATTCGATCAACTCAATTTTTATTTACAATAACTTGAACTTCTTCTCTTTAATGTAAAAAAATTTAAGCTTATAATAGAAATTTTGAATACATATAAAAACAGTTCTAATAGAAAAGAATCAAAGACCCTTTAATTATAAAATTAATATTTTTATAAAACAAATATTAAATAACTTAAAAGAGCTTTAACTTTCATGAATAAAGATGTTTGTTTTTTAGCTTTAAGTTTGATAATGCTATAAAATCTAAGTATTTTTAACTTAAGAGATAAGAAGTTGTGACCTAAATGGTTCAAGAGATATTTATATCTTTTGAACCTTGTTGTTTCCACAAAAAGAAATAGTCAAAAAGTCCTTTGTTTTTTACAATATTAATGAAATCAAATATATCTTATATATCATTAATGAAATGATAAATATGCTAGGTCTTTTAAGAGATTTTATATATACCTATAAACATAAAGAAATTATTAACTTAGTATGAACAATTATTCTACATAGAGAACCATAACGGTATATTATGTCTTTAACATTTATATTATAGTGGATTGTTTAGAATCAGGTATAAAGTCTTAAATTTAATAATGTCTAAGTTCTTTAAGTTTGGAATGTTTGCAGGATCCACATTACTTTAGACTTGGCTCACTGTCAAGTCCAAATATCTTGAGTTTGACATGCTTGCTATACTCACGTTATTTTAATCAAGTATCTTAAGTCTAGCATGTTTGTCAGACCCACGTTATCCTAGATTTAACTAACTATCAAGCTCAAGTATCCTGGCTTTGGTATATTTGCTAGACACACATTACCCTTAACTTAGCCGACTGTTAAGGTCTAAGTGTCATAGGTTTGATATCTATGTCAAACCCATGTTATTTTAAACTTGCCTAATTGTCAAGTTCAAATGTCCTAAATCTAGCGTGTTTGTCAAACTCGTGTTATCTTAAACATGGTAAAATTCTAAATCCAAGTGTCATGGATTTGACATATTTATTAGACTCACATTACCTTAAACTTAACTAATTACTAAGTCCAAACTCTTTAGATCTAGCATGTTAGCCAAACTTATGTTACCTTAAACGTGTCAAATGACCAAGTACAACTACCTTAGGTCTGACATGTTTATCATACCCACGTTATCTTGGAATTAGTTAACTATTAAGTACAAATATCTTGGCCTTTGCGAACAATCAAGTCGTATTGCTTTACGTCTAATATGTTTGCTAAACTCACGTTACTTTGGGCATAGATAAATGTCAAATCCAAGTAATTGAGTTTTAGTATGTTCGTTAGACTCACCTCACCTTGAACTTGACTTCGTTGATTGTCAAGTCAAAGTATAATGAACTTAACTTCTAGCTAAGTCAAAGTGTCTTGGACTTGGCGGAACGTCAAATGTTATTTAGGACTACCTGGACTGTCAAGTCCAAGTGCTTTGATTTTGATATTTTTACCAGATCTATGCTATTTTGAACTTAACTAATTATTAAGTTCAAGTTCTTAAACGTGGCATGTTCTTTAAATTTATTTGATTTAAGAAAATGTCTATTTATAAAAATCTGAATAAAAATTAACTTATCAAATAATAAGTAAAATGCTAATGTTGGTGAATTTATCCAATTAATAGTTAAATTAATTAGTAATCAAATAATAAGTTAACTTATCAAATAAAAATCGGTGAATTTATCCAATTTAACTCACAAGTAGCCAGTGAGATGGAAAGATCTACGGAATTTGATTAAAATGTTAAGTGGATATATTTCAGTATTTTTTAGTATTGTGGTTCAATCATTGTTTTGTTATTTTTATTTTATTTTGTAAAATTTACTTTTTAGTGTTTTTTGTTTTTTTTAATTTAATGATGTCAAAAATAAAGTTTTTAAAATGAGAAAAATATTATTTTAATACTTTTCCAAAAAAAAACAATTTAAAATGTAATATATATTACACTCCCAAACAAATATTTTATATCTCACTAGTTATTTTCAAATGCAAAAATATACAATTAAAATTCTGTTCAAATGAGAAAATAGAAGATTAAATTTAGATGGTTTTCCTAAAATATGATCAGAAAAATGATTTAATCCCGTTGTATAGAAACCAATACAATTAGAATTTGATCTATAATTTGATACGAATTAACACATGTAATGAATGAGCATAACATTTACACTTTTATTAAGATTGTGTTTGAATAATATTTTCAGACAGAAGACACAAATGCATTAGCTTTGGCAATAAAATGCCTCAGAAGGAAGCAAACATAATTTATTTTTCTTTAATGAGATTCCTAAAGAGTTAAAAACAATTACAGTAAACAAATAAACACTACATAACACACGCAGTCTTGTTTCCTAAGATATTGGAGAATTTTGTTGATTTTTAACCTCTGATAAGTTGATTATCTAGCAGATCTAGCAGCAGGAGGCCTGCGCTTTACTGCTGCTTCAACATCTACATATTTTACATGCTTTGAACATCTCCATTTTTAAAATACTCTGCCACGCAGTCTTGCTTGCAGCTCATAGCTATGGAGACAAATTAATAGTTTGTGCGATATGCAAAGTTGTGTCATCCTCTTGACAAGTGTTGCATACCCAACACATACCAACAACTAGCTACCACATATTTGTTAATTGCTTCCTATAATATTGAATCTTTTATCTTATGCAAATAATTAAATCTTGACTTGCCTCACCAACCCTAAGGTTGGCAAGTCTAAAACTCAAGGTAAATTATACCCATCCTTGAAATAACAAGAACTGTGTTATAAGTTTCCCTTTATGATTTAAGTTTCTAGGTACAACTAAATATATATATATATATATATATATAACGATATTAAGCTTTAATAATTAAAAAAAGTGTTTGAGAAGTTGGTAACAGTTATTTTTTAAAGTATTTTTTATTTAAAAATAAATTAAAATAATATTTTTTATTTAAAAAAAATTATTTTTAACATATATATATCAAAACAATTCAAAAATATTAAAAAATAATAATTTTAAACAATTATTTTTGAAAAATCATGAAACATGAGTTTCACTGCAATGTTAAATAACCTCTCAGTTATTAAGAATTTGATATGACCGTATTCTATCTAATTAAATAAATAAAATTAAATATAGAGAAGTGATGAATATAAATAAAAGTAATTATATTAAAAATAATATAAAATTATTTATTAAACTTCAATTAATAAAACTATCAACAACATAGAAATGAATTTAAAAAAATTTTAAATTTAAAAAAATTTTACTTAAAAATATGTATTAAAAAATAATTTAAAATTATTCATTAGTTTAACCTAATATTTTAAACCTTTAAATTATTATTATTATTATTATTTAATAACTGGAATATTAAACTTAATATGATAGAAAAGCCATTAAGGTCAAACATCTTATTAAAGATTTTAGAATTCAATTTATTTAATAAACCTTAAAAGACAGGTTGCAAGTAAGGAGTACTGTCAGAACTACCAACCGCACAGAGTAAATAAACATTAAAAACAAATATGCAAAAGTACGTTTTAAAAAAAATACAGTTACCAAGAATTTAAAAACTAACGTGCCGTTTGGTATCACTACAATTTCCTTTTCTGTGTTATATTTTTTTTAAAAAAAGTAAAAAAATATTTGAATTGCTATATTTTTTTTTCAGTA